CGAGACTAGTAACTGCTCGGCTGACTGCCACCCTGTCTCCCCATCCTACCACTCCAACAGCAAGCATCTCTCCTGTGCGTCTCCACACTCTGCCCCATCTTCCTGGTCGCTCAGGTGCCAAGGACGTACTGGAAGTCCATGGAAGGGAAGGGCTTCCAGCTTCCCCCAGGGTCTGCTACTTGGTATCCGAAGGCTCTGTATACTGTCAAGGCTCCACAGGTGCTGCGTGCTCAGTCACTTCAGTCATGTCTGACTTTGTGCGCCTGTGGACTATAGCCCTCCAGGCTCCTCTGTTCACGGAGTTCTCCAGGCAAGAATACTGGAGTGGGTTGCCATTTCCTTCTCCAGGGGATCTTGCTGACCCAGGGATCAAACCCAGGTCTCCTGCACTGCAGGCGAATTCTTTACTCCTGAGCCACTGGGGAAGCCAGATCCACAGAACCATATATTTGCCCTCATATTTCTTTCACAATTGGGTCCAAAGTTTATTTAGCAGTAATTAGTCACGGGATGTGATTTTTCACTTTGCTCTGATTCTTAAGTTCATTGAATAAGGCATTCTCATCTCCGTTTCATACTCCACACAGTTACCAGGCCAGCTTGGGGCCCTAGCCTGGTTTTTCTGCCTTCAATCCTTCCTGATATCTCCACACATGACTACCATGGTCATCCTCCTAAAATCGCCTTACACTGTGTCACCTTCCTTCTCCAACAGATGGTGGAATTTTGTGATCCTCAGCCTTTGTTACATGACCTAAGTCTGCTTTCCCAGCCTCACAGTCACTGCATCCTTCCGTTAACCTGTTACTAGATGTCACTGATCCTTTCTGCAGTCCTGTTGAGCAATTAGAGTCAGCACCCTGCTTCTATGTTTCCAAGCTTGTGTTGTAGTTATTGTTTGCTGCTAAAATGAGTTCAACTCTTTGTGACCCCATGGACTATAACTTGCCAGGTTCCTCTGTCCATGGGATTCTCCAGGCAAGAGTACTGGAGTGGGTTGCCATCTCCTTAGGGGATCTTCCAGATCCAAGGATCGAACCTGGGTCTTCTGCACTAGCGGGCAGATTCATTATCACTGGGCTACCAAGGAAGCCCTGCATTATAGTTAGTTGTCTATATACTGGTCTTTGGTACTGGACTTATTTCAAAGCAACAGATTTCTTCATTTATTGTCCTTTTTAACACACTGACAAATTAAAAAAAAACTCTTGTTTCTGCTAGCATAATATTCTAAATTATATATCAAAAAGGCTAAAAAAAGAACAAAAATACACGGAAACATTCAAACAAAAAACACAGAGTTGGTAATCTTAATTTCAAACTTTAAGATGAAAAGAATTAGGAAGGACAAGAAAGCATCATTTATAAAAGATATATAGCCCCAATATAGCTATGATGATAACGGAGCCTTATGTAAATAAATAACGTAATACTGACATAACACAAGGGCTGTTGGGAGCGAGGCGCGAGGGAGACTTCTCCAGCTCTGTAGCATGTGTCACAGCCACGCGCACACGGGGCTCAGTGCCTGATCACTGACAGAAGGGAGCAGGCCCACCCTGGACCAGTAACCCAGGGAGAGCAGTAAGACGCTCTCCCCAGGGTCTGACCCACACCCCACCTGGACCGCCTCCCACGCTGCCCCGTAAGTTCGAAGGTAAGAAGATCCCTGTGTCGCATAACCTGCACAGCAAACCTTAAGGTTCACACACAACAGAACCCAAGAGCACTCCCACCCCGTGAATCTCATATCTGCAAAGTGCCTTCTCCTTTTTACTACAGCCGCAACCCAAATGAGCAGAGTACGGATCTCAAACTTAATTGTTTTCTTATTTAAAACAGAAACAGACTCACAGACATAGAAAAACAACTTATGGTTACCAAAGGGGAAGTGGGAGGGATAATTTGGGAATGTAGGATTAACAGATACATACTACTGTACAGAAAACAAGATGAACACATATCCACTGTAGAACACAGAGAACTATTTCAGAAGCTTGTCATAACCTGTAATGGAAAGGAATCTGAAAAACAATATATGTGTGTGTGTATATGTATATGAACTAACAGAGCACTGTAAACCAACTATACTTCAATAAAAATAAAACCTCTGAAAACACAAATCAAACCTAATCATGACATATTCACGCGTTGTGTGTCCTTAGTCGTGTCCAACTCTTTGTGACCCCCATGGACTGTAGCCCATCTAAGCTCCTCTGTCCATGGAATTTTCCCGGTAAGAATACTAGAGCTGGAGTGGGTTGCCATTTCCTACTCCAGGAACATATTCTTATGTGTATTAAAAAAAAAAAAAAGCTAGATATTAGTAGTAGTTACCTCTGGATCTTTGTTTTATGCTAGATTATTTCCTAAACTTATCCATTTCCTGTAATAAACATGCCTTTTACAATTTTTTAAAGTATTAATAATCAAACACTTGAGAATAAACGTTCTCTTTTAGCATGGCAAAATATGTCCAGCAGATGGCGCAAAACCTTAATCCAGAATTAAGAGATTAATAAAAAATGATAACCCTACTGCTTCAGGAATGCACATGTGGAGGGGATGTTTCGTGGTGACCACAAATCAGTCACCGTGCACACTGGCTCTAGAATTTGTGTGTTCCTCGAATGTAATGTGTTTGACCTCTTCTACAGCCAAAGGTGAGTCATTTCAGAGGAAAGACAACTACAGATGAGGCGTATGGAACTTCCAGAGGCTGCAACACAACATGATTTATTGAGTGTCAACGTGATGTCACACCTGCAAAGGGTTTTGCAGGTTGTAGAGTCCATCAGTTTTCACACATTGTTTTTTAGATTCTTCTCAGAGTAAGGAAATGGCAACCCACTCCAGTATTCTTGCCTGGAAAATCCCATGGACTGAGGATCCTGGTAGGTTACAGTCCATGGGGTCGCAAAGAGTCGGACACAACTGAGCAACTTCACTTCTCAGAGTAAACCCCAATATATTGAGCTATATCCAGCTATTCTAACTGAAGTGGGGGTTAGGGACAAGAGCCATCCTGAGCCTACTCTTTGTCCAAGTCTCCCCACCCCTGTACCCATAGCTGGCACAATCAAGAATTGGCTATACTAATCAACAGCTATGCAATCCATAAAATACTTCTAAGAAGCCCTAGAGAAACCCCCTAAGGGCAGTGCAATACTTTCACTTTACTATTCTCCTCCTCCTCAGAGGAATTTCCAATTTGAAATGGAAACATGCATAAAAACAAACCAAAAAAAGTCACTCATTGCTTTTAAAAGAAAAAATCAGTAAGGACAGTCAAAATGCATCAATAAACTCAATACTCATACATTCCACACATTTGACATCTGCAATTAAAATTTATGTTGAATTAAATTAACTTTGGATTCACTTAAATCCTTTTTATGATTTATGATTTAAAATCCTTTTCAATCCTTTCCATGGTTTATGCAGACTATAGGAAGTCAGCATTTCAGCTATAGCAAGCTTTTGTGAGAAATATAACCATATTCTTGGAGAAGCACATTCATTTTTATCAATAAAGTTTATTTGTATCAATAAAATATTCTTCAACTGTACTCTCTGTACCATCTATATTGCAAAATGCAATTATAAACCACAATAAATAGTGATTTAACAGCAAGAAACTAGGTTTTTTTTTTTTAGAACTTTTGGAATTCCATAAAAATCTGACTAAATAATGTTTACAAAGTAGAAGTAACAACCTATTTAAATGCATTCGCCTAAAGTTTCAACACAAGTCGAAATTTGGCTTTAAGAAATTATTTTTAGAAAGTTTTCCTTTGTTTTGAACAACTTATCTACCTGAGGCACTGCTTGTTATTTCTAAGAGTTGCCTGGCTGGTTAGCTGGGCTTAGTCGCTCAATCTTATCCTCTTTGTGACCCCATGGTCTGTAGTCCACCAGGCTCCTCTCTGTCCATGGGAACTTTCCAGGCAAGAACACTGGAGTGGGTTGCCATTCCCTCCTCCAGGGGATCTTCCCAACACAGGTCTCCTGAATTGGAGGTGGATTCTTGACCACCTGAGCCACGCTGTCTGCTTTATGACGAGGTTGTGGATTAGGGCTTCCCAGGTTGCGCTAGTGGTCAAGAACTCCCATGCCAATGCAGGAGACGTAAGAGGCACAGGTTTGACACCTGGTTAGGGAAGACCCCTTGGAGGGTGGCATGGATTAAAAGGTTTCACCTGTGGCTTCTCAGCATATTAACCATATTCCAAGCAGACAGTCGGGGGTTTCCCCGATACCTCAGCTGGTAAACAATCCACCCACACTGCGGGAGACCTGAGTTCGATCCCTGGGTTGGGAAGATGCCTTGGAGAAGGGAAAGGCTACCCATCCCAGAATTCTGGCCTGGAGAAGCCCATGGACTGGGGTCGCAGAGTCGGACACGACTCAGCGACTTTCACTTTCAAGCGGACAGTCAAAACAAAAATACGGAAGGGTTTGGCAGTAAATGAGCTGGTCTTAAATTCTGACTTCTGGGGAGGGCAGCTTCGCTGACAGAAAGGGCAGCCACAGCGTCGGCCAGTCTGGAGTGGTCAGGAAAGCAAGGCCGAGGCTTCCCCCCAGAATTGGCAGATAGTGTCAGGTCCAGTTTCGGTGCGGCCCGGGACGCCGGTGGGGCCAAAAAAAAAAAACAAAAAACTAAACCGACTTCTGCTCTCTCGGTGGCACAGGTGGTCAAGAACCCGCGTTCCCAAAGCAGGAGACACGCAAGAGCCGCGAGTTCGGTCCCTGGGTCGGGAAGGGAATGACTACCCACTCCAGGGTTCTTGCCTGGAGAGTCCCAGGGACAGAGGGAGCCTGGCGGCCGGCAGTCCATGGGGTCGCAGAGAGTCTAAGACACGACTTAAGAGTTTAGTCTCAGAGTCTAAGACACGGCTTAGGCGACTGAGCACACACGCCGCCTCTCCCAGCCCTGCGCCTTAAGCCTCTGTTTCCCCAGGTGTTTCCCCAGGTATTAACACCAGAATAGTTAGACTGACCTGAGTGGGGGATTAAGCGGTTATCTCTCAGCTGCAAATCCCGCCTTCTTCCCCTCCGCGGTGTGACTTTAGGACCGCGGTTCTGCAGCCCACAGTTTGACTCTGCCGACAGGGGGCGCCGGCGGGCGACGGAAGGCTGGCGGAGCGAGCGCGCGTGCGCCTCTGGATGTTTCCTGTTTCTGCAGCAACGCATCCCCCGCACCGCACGGGCTGTTGGGCTCGTGTTCTCAGGACCCCGCACCCCACCCCCCGCCCCCGAGACCCAGCCTTACGTGTCCCCGCAGAGCTACCAGCACCAGCTGCCCCGATCCCCGCCCCTGCAACTGACCCCTGAGAAGTGAAGTCAAGTCAAGTCGCTCAGTCGTCTCCGACTCTGCGACGCCATGGACTGTAGCCTACACCAGGCTCCTCGGTCCATGGGATTTTCCAGGCAAGAGTAATGGAGTGGGTTGCCATTTCCTTCTCCAGGGGATCTTCCCGACCCAGGGATGGAACTCGGGTCTCCCGCACTGCAGGCAGACGCTTTACCGTCTGAGCCATCAAAGGGAAGACCCATGAGAAGGCAGTCCCAACTGCAGGGGTTCTCCCCGAGGCTGAGGAGCCAAGCCCCACTCTGGCCTTGTCAGCCAGGGGAAGAGGAGCCCCCGGGAAACGCCTCTTTGAAGGCCAGTGGGGGGCTTACTTTCAGGAGGGCCGGACGGCCGTGGGTCACAGACTCCACTCAAAGGGCGCAAACAGAATCTCGCACTCTCAGGGACCCAGGGCAGAGACGGTAATGGGAAAGCAGCCTGGGCCAGACCCACTTACTGACCTCAGGAGACGCTCTTGGAGAGGCAGGAGGCAGTTGGGACTCACCCCGGGGACTGTCGGCAGCCACTTGTAGGAGCTCGCCCCACCACGAGAACGCTGGAAGTGGTAAACACCGTTTCAGAGCCCTCTCTCCAGCTTATATTAGTGTGGGTCCAGGCCCCACCCACCAACCGGTTTGCACTGGATCTGACCGCCTGGGGCCGAGCAGCAGGCTGGGAAGGGACATAGCCCCACCCATTAGCACGCAGGCTGCTGAAGGGCCCCCATGAACACCTAGGGGGTCACCGCAAGGTCAGGACAGCCCCGCCCAGCACAGGGCTGGCACTAGCCCCCACCACCTAAGGGCACCGCAGCCAGCGGCCCCCACCCGCCAAATGTGTTCATGGGTGGACTGGCCCTGGCCCCTCCCTTTTCTAATTAGTAAAAACGCTAATTAGAAAAGATACATGCTCCCTATGCGTGCTGTGCTTAGCGGCTCAGTCATGTCCGATTCTTTGTGACCCCATGAACTCTTGCCTGCCAGGCTCCTCTGTCCATGGGGGTTCTCCAGGCAAGAATACGGAAGTGGGTTACCATGCCCTCCTCCAGGGGATCTTCCCAACCCAGGGATCGAACCGGGGGTATCCTGAAATGAAGGCGTATTCTTTACCAGCTGAGCTACCATTATAGCCGCATTATTTACAACAGCTAAAATATGGAAGCAACTGCGCAGTGGTAAAGAATCTGCCTGCCAATGCAGGAGATTCAATCCCTGGGTAGGGAAGAGCCCCTGGAGTAGAAAATGGCAACCCAATCTGGGATTCTTGCCTGGAAAATCCCATGGAGGAGCCTCGCAGGCTACAGTTCATGGGGTCACAGAGAGTGGGGCATGACTGAGCGCGCACACACGCGCATGCACACACACGCACAAGTGCCCATTATTGAATGAATAGATAAAGAACATGTGGTGTATATACATATAATGGAATATTACTCAGCTACAAAAAAATTAAATCTTGCATTTTGCAACAACACGGATGTACCCAGAGGGTATTATGCTAAGAGAAGGAAGTCAGAGAAAAACAAATAATATATGATTTCGCTTAAATTGAGAATCTAAAAAACAAGACAAATGAACCCACATAAGGAAATAGAAACAAGGTCACTGGTACAGAGAACAAACAGGTCGTCCTTGCTAGAGGGAAGGAAATACTGGAGAGGAGAATAATAGGTAAGGGGGATGAAGAGGTACAAGCTAGCAGCTAGTAAATAAATGTCACAGGTAGGAAGTGCACAGCGCGGGGAATAGTCAATAATTCTGTATTATCTTCATATGGTGACATCATAACTGGACTTACTGTAGTGGCCATTTTATAATGTACAGAAATATAAAATCACTGTGTTGTGAACCAGGAACTCTCATAGTGTTGTTAGTCAATTATACTTCAAAAACATGAGCTTCCCCTGGTAGTTCAGCTGGTAAAGAATCTGCCTGCAATGCAGGAGACCCTGGTTCGATTCCTGGGTCAGGAAGATCCCCTGGAGCAGGGACAGGCTGCCCACTCCAGTATTCACGGGCTTCCCTGGTGGCTTAGCTGGTAAGGAATTGGCCTGCAATGCAGGAGACCTGGATTCCATCCCTGGGTTGGGAAGATCCCCTGGAGGAGGGCATGGCAACCCACTCCAGTGTTCTTGCCTGGAAAATCCCATGGACAGAGGAGCCTGGTAGGCTACAGACATGGGGTCGAGAAGTGTCTGACTCAACTGAGAGAGTAAGCTGCTGCTGCTGCTGCCAAGTCACTTCAGTCGTATCCGACTCTGTGCAGCCCCATAGACGGCAGCCCACCAGGCTTCCCCGTCCCTGGGATTCTCCAGGCAAGAACACTGGAGTGGGTTGCCATTTCCTTCTCCAATGCATGAAAGTGAAAAGTGAAAGGGAAGCCGCTCAGTCGTGTACGACTCTTCGCGACCCCATGGACTGCAGCCTACCAGGCTCCCCGTCCATGGGATTTTCCAGGCAAGAGTACTGGAGTGGGGTGCCATTGCCTTCTCCAAACAACTACGAATACACTTCAAAAACAAACTAACCAACTCCTGGAAAAGAGACCAGATTTTTATGATTACCAAAGGTAGGGGTTGGGGGGGAGTGGCGTGGATGGAGGGGTTACCTGAAGGTATTCAAAAGATATGATTAAAAGATATATTATCTCGACTTTCAGAGATAATAAATACTAGGCTTGTAATGTATAATATGATAAATATAATTAACACTGCTTTATATGTATTGTATATGAAAGTTAAGAGAGTAAATGGAGAATTCTCACAAGAAAAAAAAATTTTTTTCTATCTCTTTAATTTTGTGTCTGTGTGAGATCATGTATGTTTACAACCCCATGGGCTGTAGCCTGCCAGGTTCCTCTGTCCATGGGATTCTCCAGGCAAAAATAGTGGAGTTGATTGCCAGGCCCCCCTCCAGGGGATCTTCCCAACCCAAGGATCAAACCTGCATCTCTTATATCTCCCCCATTGGCAGGTGGGTTCTTTACCACTAGCGCCACCTGGGGAGCCATATGTGTAAATCTATCCATTTACTGAGAACTCTGAGAACTAATAATACCTTCAATTTCAATCCAACAACAAAGGATTCATTCTAGTTTTTCCCTTTGCATATCTGCAACTCCCTTCTCCAGCAGTGAGAACTCTGGATCCTACTGTCATTTTGTAAATTGTCTTATTTGACCCATACCCCAGCGGTAACCATGCTTCCATCTCTGCCTCTCCCCCAGCCCATAGAACGCCTTCCTCTTTCTCCTCAGGCACTGATGCCTCACGCTGAGCGCCCTCTCCACCCCACAGTGGGACTCCCCCTCTCACCCAGTGTGGGCTCTGAGGCTCTGTGTCATAAGCTAGCCCCTTGCCCTGTGTGACCGCCCCTCCACTCACCCTTCAAGCAGCTCCCTGCTGGCTGGACCCCCTCTTCACCTACTCAAGCTGTTACACCCTGTTCCAGCTGCCCCTCAGTTCCCACTTAGGACTGACCTGTTTATGAAAGGAAGGGGAAAGGAAGAGTCCAAATAACTTTTCAACACATGTGCAGTGAAGAACGTCCTTGCCGAAAGGTGGGGGAATGGAAAAAAAAACCAACCGGAAGCAAAAAAAGGGGAAGTTCCAAAGCCGCCGAACAAGCCAAAAAAATCAGTCAAAAAAAAGAACAAGTAAAATTAATTTTTAAGCCTCTCTTAAAGCTTGGGATGATCCTACTAGAATCTGGATGGGAAAAAAGATAGCATTTACTGGAGTAAACAGGAAAAGTAATCAAGCAGAGCTTTTAAAAGCTCATTTTGCTTCTTCCTTCTTCAGAATAAATTGCTGTACAAACTGGCCCCAGAGCTCTAAGTTACAGAGCATCCAGAGTCCTCAAGAATACGGCATTTGTTCTTTCACTTAAGGTCAACAATGGAAAGTCACCAAATGGGTCTGAGGAGCCAAAAAGGATAAGATTGTAAGGAAAACTTTAATTTCTGGTTGTCAAGTTGAAAAAAACCATGAATACATTGTATATCTTATGAACCTGTTTTAGGATCAACAGTGTAAAGCAAACTGGATGGGTCAAAAAATTGTGTTACAGTTGTGGTGCTAGTAGATAAGCTGGTTGATTGGTCATTAAAGTCATTTGTCATTTAGACAAATCTGCCACAGTGTCACTGCCTGACTTACTGCTATCATAGTAATCAATAATTACTTCTTTTTATACTAAATATAAGGTATGATTTAATAATAAAATGCTTATCTGGAATAACTGGCTTCATCCAAGTACAAGAAAGTATATATTGTTCAAAACTCTTGTTCATATTTAGAGGAGGGACTATCAGCAAAATATTTGGGCACTGGGTTTGAATAAACACTTTCAGTGCTATATAATGATGACAGAAGCTATGGTATAATAGGACTTGGTCCGCAGATGGTCTGAAGCACCCAGGGTGCTCCTCTGGTAGGATCAGGGCTTGGCATCACCTGCTGACAGGCGTCAGCGTCCAGTAGGGGAGGAAGGCCAAGGAGAGGGGCCGTGGACAACCACGGGGAGGCGGCCGAGGGGACTGGGAAGGGAGGAGGAGGACGAGGACCCACGGGGAGAGGGCGGGGGGAGGTGGAGGAGAGGAAGGGAAGAGGAGAGCAGTGGAGTGGATATGTGACTCGGTGATGGAAAGATGAGATGGATGATTGGAAGAAACACAGGAAATAGAGATTGCACATTTTAAAAAGACGCAGGGAGATACTGCACAGTAATAATTCGAAGCCATGGAGGCAGTTTATTGCTACATTTTAAATTGCTGAATTTAAGAACACTCTCTTGGACCCACAATCCACGATTAAGTCTGCACAGACGGCTTTGGTTTGTTCTCACGTCCCATAGTTTCCCACTCCCTCACAGGGAGAATCTTCTTGGAAAGTGAATATGAAAGTGAGCTTTTGTCTTGCACATTAATTTCTGACTGTATTAACTTAAAGAAGAAACAGGGAAAAAAAAAACAACCCTTAGATCACATTGCCTTGAGCTTATATGACTTATTTAAAGGCTTTTTTCTAAATGGCAGCTGCTATATACAAGGAGCTCAGCCCGGTGCTCTGGGATGACCTAGAAGGATGGGATGGGAGGGGTGGGAGGGTGGCTCAAGAGAGATGAGGCATAAGCATACACACAGCGGATTCATGTTGTGGCCCAGCAGAAACTAACACAACATTGTAACGCAATTATATTCCAATTGTTTTTTAAATTTAAAAAATAGAGGCTTTTCATCCTTAATCTTTACAGCATCACTCTGAGGTAGATAGGAGATCTGTAGTTTTCCCCCATTCTATAAAAACAAAATCAGAATTAAATGAGAATTAAAACAGTAGACACACAAAGTCTAGAGTAGGGCGGTCCTGATTAAATCAGAGGTAACAAAACTGAGCTAATTCTGTACACTGGGACTGATGACAATGTTTCAAGTTGTCCAGACTACAAACAGGTTCAATTTGGCCAATCAAAACCACATTTCAAACTTAATCCCCATGAGTGCAAAGTTGTAAAGATGATGCTCTGGTTAATCCTTTAGTTCTGTTTCTCTTTATTTGACCATTTTCCTTTGCACTAGAGATGAGCCCATAATTGCATTTTGTCTGCTGACATCACTATTTTTGCGGCTACACTTTGGCTGAAAGACAGTCCATCCCACAGGTGAAGTATACAGTCCAGAGCCTCAGCAGAGCCTTGGTCTGCATCTGGTCTCCACAACAGCGATCCTAC